TTTTTTCTTAAATACTAGTTCTTTAACACGGCGGATCCATACCTTGACTGCAAGGGGATTTAAAGTTCGGCTTGCTTTTGATGTTAAAAAAGTTTAGGAGTTAGTTTAGTTTTCAAATTGTCCGTTTATTATGATAGTTTTGAAGAAAATAAATTCTTTATTCAAGCAAAGGAAAATATTTCAATTAGATGCTCTGTATTATATATTTAATTTTTTAAGGAACTCTATTCAAAGGGCGGCGTTTTGGCTTTTAAGGTTTTTTTTTAGTTGGGCCATGGTAGGACATACTTTTAATTGTTTAATTTAATTGTAACCAAGTAAAAACATGCAATGACTGAATTTTAGTAAACTTTAACTATAAATTTGTGTTAACCTAACACATTGTTTTAATCGTTATATTATTGTCCATTTCCTGTAGGCGATATGAACCATGAGTGGATTGGAAACTATTGGCTGCCCGGCCTGGGTCTGCCGCAATATCGCACAACCTTCATGGAGTGTCTGGTCGACGCCCGCATGCTGGACCATCTCACCAAGAAGGACTTGCGCGGTCAGCTTAAAATGGTGGACAGTTTCCATCGCACCAGCCTGCAGTACGGCATATCCATGCTCAAGCGCCTTAACTACGACCGCACGGAGCTGGAGCACAGGCGGAAAATGAGTGAAAACGGCCTGTGCGATGTGCTCGTCTGGAGCAACGAGCGGGTCATACGGTGGGTGAGCAGTATCGGATTGAAGGTGAGTTTCATGGCCCGAAGGCAACAGCCCATCAACATAAAACTGATGTTAAACACTCATATTTATAGGAGTATGCCAACAACTTGCTCGAATCGGGAGTGCATGGGGGTCTAATGGCACTAGACGAGGGCTTCGATGCCAATGCCATGGGCTTGGCCCTCCAGATACCCACACAAAATGCTCAGGTAAGCTCGCCTATGCGCACTTTCTTTATAACAATAAGTAATGAGCATTCTTGTGAATAGGCTCGCCAAATACTCGATACGGAGTTCAACAATCTGCTGCAGATCGCCACAGATCGCAGGCCGGAGAACGAGCAGCGCAGCGCTTCTTGATGCAGCTACAGTCCTCCAACGTCCTCGGTGGATGAGTGAATACGAGCTGGGGCGCAGGACAGACAGTAAATGCAAAAGCAAAGGCAACCTACAACAATAAGAACGTGAAGACCAGGGGCAACGTTTCCTAAACCGCAACAGTAAGGAGAAGCAGACCTAGAAGTGGATAGGATAGGATAGAAGTGCTAGCAGCAACTGAGCCACAAAAACTCTAACAAGAAAGACGCAACGCAAGAGACTCCCCAGCATGATGCACGTCTAATCCACATATTTAATATATATAAATACACGCATAGTCACATAATCCATAACAAGACAATGTATACAAGACATAGCACATACTCTACATAGGACATACATACGTAGTTGCATTGGCGCCCAGTCGCTGCTGCTGCCAGCGTGTACAAGTTATAGAAGCTAATCAGTTTTCGATTGTAAAATTATTATTGTATTTTTTTATATAGTGTAATAATTGGGCTTGCAATAGACTAACAGTATTTTGTTTTACATGATGCAAAAGGTGGAAAGAGATGTCAGCGTGCTCCGAACCAAATTCGTGACCAAACTTGTTTGTTATATAATTTTATGGCATTTTGTACAGTTTTTAATTTAATCCAATCGTAATTTCTTTTAAATTAAACCAACTAACATACGCTTTACATATGACATTATAGTGTTTCTGTTTAGTTTTTTGCAGAAGGCAGAGACGGCGTTTCAATTGAGTTTATAAACTGAACAACATGCACAACAATCAGGCATACATATATAGAGTAACAACTGCATATATATACGATTTATATATCATAATAAATCTAATTATTAAACATTATGAAGCATACGTGTAACTAACAAGAAAGTATTAAACGAGATGTGTAGGAAGGGGAAGGAACGTTGTAGAAGTCGCAAGCGCCCATTGAAATCAACTATTTACATACTTATATATACGAGGTCATTAAGTAATCGAAAAAGCTTTAAAGGCGAACTAAACCTAAACCAAAACTCAAATTCTTAGCCCTTGCTTAAGCCCTAAATAAAGAATTTCTTTGCTCATTGGCTTGAGGGCATTCGACTTTCAATAGCGAATCAATTCTTTGAATATTTTTACGAACGATCTACTCACAAAATCTAAAGCATATCCATTGTTTTTGAAAACATAAAAACCCAATCCCAAATCCTTTTCTTGCAAGCGCTGCAAGCTGAATCATAAATCAAGTCTTTCTCTTCAGTTGAATCCCTTCGAACTAACCACTCTAACTAAGTTTCGCATGTACTTATTTATCCCATAATGTTAAAGCACACAAACTGCCACATAACAACACGTACACAAAGGAACATCCACAGCATCTAAGAATGTTGATTTTTGGGGTCTTATGTACATTAAGATTATGTTTTTACTTATTTGTACAAAACCAAATTTGCAACTAACGCTTGTCTTTAAGTTGAAATAGAAAATACAAAAGAATCAGTAAAAATGAATACAATATACTTAAATTAATTTATAAAACTAAAATATATATTATAAAAATACTAAAAAGATGAATACTTAATGAAATTATTTCAACTGTATTAGCAAAATTAAAAAAACAAAAAAAACTAACGCGTAAAGAAACTTATAAAAGCTCTAAAATCTGAAAACTTATTTATGTATGTAACTGTAGCATTATCTAAGTAAATCCAAGAGTAAAGAAAATATTTATGATGTGTAACCTAAATTGAGTAACTACTAATCCAGAATATCTAAGTTAATTTGAACACGGATTGGTTTTATTGTTGACTTTTGTTAAAAATTCCACAAGAAATAATTGAAAAACGTTCGTAACTAAACTAAACTAAACTAAATGCGTAACATAAATATAAAATTGATTACCATACACATATGTAAATATATTTATACAATATTGTGAACATGAAAATGGAACGCAATACAAGCAAATTAGGTAAAAATTCCGGTTAGGAGTTTTTTATATGTACCATATATATTTGAAAAAAACACAAAAACAAATGATGAAAATATAACTACAAATTAAAATTTATTACAAAAAAGCAACCACACGAAAATGTTTTCGAGGCATTTGGTTTTTCATATATATTTTTAAAAGAAATGGTTGATTAGAGGTATGATGATTGAGTCAATCCAGCACAAAGTGAAAACACAGTGAGTATACAAATTAAAATCAGGGAAACTTTAAGAGTTAGAGATTTGAAATTGGACTTGACCAGTTGCATTAATTTAAGTCTGGCCACTTTTGATATCTCCTAGTTTCAAAGCAATTACCAAAATTCGGCTATTTCTAGTTTGGGACTCTTGACTAAAGCCTTTTTAACAGGGACTGCAAATAATGATTGTACATGTGTTTATTCAACCAAAAAATCAATTACTTAAAATCGACATACAAAAAAAAAGGAAATCGCTATATTGATTGTCTTTGGTCAATTTATTCATTTCTGTAAAAATTTTAAAATTTTTAATTTTTATTTTTTCTAAAAATAATAATTATTTTTGAGCAAAAAAATAAAAAAGCAGTTTTATGGATTGCTGTCGTTCAAACAAATAAAACTCAAAAGTAATGACTTCTGATGACTTCTTTTTCATTTTAATTAAAATAAAACTTGTTTTGAAATTGCGTCTTCTGTGTGCAGAGTTTTAACGATATTTTTGTATAAATTTCTAAAACGACCCTTGAGCAAACAAAATAATAGTAAATTATACTCTTAACCTTGTAAAGGGCTTTATAATGTTGGTCAGATGCTTGCAAGCTAGAGAAGGAGGCATTTCCGACCCAATAAAGTATGCATAAAGCATCACAAGAGTAGATGAAATACGTCCGTCTGTTTCAACGGCTTAATGAATTTAGAGGTTTAAAATCGGCTATAAAATTGTGTAATACAATTTTGCTACCAGAAATTGTCTCTAAACACATTGCCAAAACCAAGTCCTGGATCCGCTACACTGGTCTGTTTCATTACGTTAGTCGTTTTGTTTAAATGCTGACATCGTTCAGCTTATCGGATTGTGTATATCCCATTTCTTCTAAGTGTTAAGCAATTCATAGTAAAGGAAAATATTGGCGCATATATTGCCAATCCTTGAAACTAATTTACATGGCTATTTTAGCTATCAAACAATCACTATTAATTCACTAAGATACTCTAGCCCACCCAAGAAAATAAAATTGCCAGATTTATATAATTTTTTTTTACAAAACAAAAATTTACATAACCAAGTAAGTGCCTAAGAATTTCTTCCGAGATCTGTCAGCATTGAGTGCAGAAAATGTCATTTTTCGAAATGTAAATTTCAAAAAAATTCCGACAACTTATATTGTGTTTGCGACCCATATTGAGATCCTACACACCCGAAAGACGTACTGGAATGGTGCTTACGAAACTTTATTAACAATACCTAAGTTAAATTGAAGTTGTTGGCCCAGATCCTTAATTTAGTATAAATTATTATTAGGTGTACGAATAATATTCTTACAAAATTATAAAAATGATTTTAAAATAATAAGCATTTGGTATAAAATATCAGCTTTATTTGGGTTATAGATTGTACCTCTAGAGTCGTTTTATATGTCTATGACAAAATTTCGTTAAAACTCTGCACACAGAAGACGCCGTTCCAAAATAAGTTTTATTTTGATAAAAAAAAAATTTCTTAAATAATGATTATTTTTGAATTTTATTTTTTTGATCAAAAATAATCATTATTCTTGATCAATACAAATAAATCTAAAAAATAATCATTATGATGTGCTTTAAAAAAAAAATTATAATGACTACTTTCCCTGATTTTTAACAGAGTATCTGGTTTTAATCCGATCGAATGGGACTATTTCGATCGGTGAGGTTTGTGCCATTCGGTACCTGATTAAATATTTCCACAATTTTGTTTACAGAGCTGTAAAAACAGCAAGCTTTGACTAAGTGGGTTTGTTTCAAATTTTCTTCCGTTTCGTTTTTGGTCTGAATTTCATTGTCTATGCTAAGAAATGTATTTTAAGTCAATCAAGACTTTTAGTAGTTAGTACATGCGACACTGTTAAAAACTGTTTGGCTCCTGCTTCAAAATTCCACGTTGATTGCTCGAAGCAATCGTCTGCTTTTGGAATCTTTTCGGGAGAAAGACACTCCAGGACACCTCAGGACACGGACACTCGAAGCAAAAGGCCGCAAAAAAACACAACCAAAGGGGTCACAGGTCACAGGTCACAGGGCGAAGAACAGGAGCAGCAGCCAGCAGTATGACGCAGAGCACCACGCCCACCGGCTTCACCGGGAACCGCAACCGCTACTACAACCCCGTCTCCAAGATCCAGTCGCTTATCCACAACCTGGACGCGGAGCTGGTCCAGCTGTGCAAGCAGTGCTCCGTGCCCAAGCCCCTGAGCAGCCACAACAACAACAACTATGCCTCGACCCTCGGATCGCTGGGTGGTGGTGGCTCGACCTCCCTGGGCAGCAGCCACTTCCGTCCCGAGGTCATTGGCAACCTGCTGTCCCGCACGCGTGCGGCACACCCGATCCCAACCAGTTCGTCCCTGGCGCCGGAAGCCCAGAAGCGCCAGATGCGCAACGTCTACCGCACGCGGGTGATCGACGCGTACCGCAACCGGCGGATCTTCACCGTGTACGGGAACTACCACACGGTGCGGCGGGCCCTGATGCGCCGCGGCTGGCTGGAGAAGCTGCCGGCCTCCCGGCACGCCAAGCTGCAGAGCATGTCCGAGGATGCCCTGCTGGAGCACGCGCGGCGCGGCAACGACTACGAGGCGGTGGTCCTGTCCAAGATGATCAACCACTTTCCGGCCTTCTTCATCTGGCAGGGCAAGGGGCAGCGCGACCTGTGCGCCGAGGTGAGGCCCTTCCGCAACCGGGTGCGACGCAGCCAGTTCCTGGACTTCTCCACCAAGGTGGGCCTGGTGGGCTGCGCCGAGCAGGAGCGCTGGTACCGCGAGGACGGCGTCTGCGGGATGAGCTACCCGCGCTTCTACCGTCTGGGCGGCAACAACCTGGAGGAGCGCATGGCCTTCATCGAGGACTACCAGCAGACGCAGGCCCGGTCGCTGCTGCTCTACGTGAGGGAGCACCAGCCGGCGGAGATGGTCTGCGAGCACGGCACTGTGCAGTTCACCACCCTGGACTTCGCCCTCGGCAAGGTGAAGAAGATGGTGCGCCACGCGGAGCACTACTCTCTGGACGACGCCAGCATCAAGCCGCCGACTCCCGCAGAGATCGTCGAGAACCAGACCTTCATGGTGCAGTCCACCGACGTGATCAAGTCCGGCGCCAAGTTCAAGGGCAGCGAGAAGGTGATGGCGGAGTACGCTCGTCTGGCGGGGCTCTACCTCGACCAGATCGAGTCGCTGCGGCCGGACTACCGCTGGGACGGCAGCCGCAACCTGTGGATCCTCAAGCCCGGCTACCAGTCGCGCGGCATCGGCATCGTCATACGCAGTTCCCTCGACGACATTCTGCAGTGGACGTCGAACAATCAGAACAAGAAATACATCGTCCAGAAGTACATTGGTGAGTCAGTTGTCCGAATATAATACTTTTGGATATTTTTTGGAGCGCTACAGAAAACTCTTCCAACTGTAATCCAACCCATTCTATATGGTTGTTAGGTTTTCTGTAGCACCTCGGATAGTTGGTTGAGTTGGACAAGGTAATTGTTCAAGGAGCGACCAAAAAATAATACCCTTTTACCAGTGTTTTGGTAAAGGGTGCATCACTGCATGATTTTGTAGATTAAAAAAAAGCCCCCAGAAAATAATCGGGTGGCGCAATCTTACAAACTGCAGAATCTGCTAAAGCAACCAAAATTTTCAAAAATTAAATAAGTTCTGTATACCCTAGCAAAGGGTATTATTATAGTTTCGGTCAAAAGTTTACAACGCAGTGATTAAGACACTTCCAAGTCTATATGTATAATGAGCATCACTAGGTGAGTCGATCTGATCATGTTCGTCTGTGCGTTTCAACGCAAACTAGTCTCTCAGTTGAACGAGAAGCCTCGGATCCAAGCAAATTTTGTGTCCTTCGACGCGTATTTTGAATAAAATTTAAACTGTGTTAAAAGTGTTATATTTTACCAACGCTTGAGCTTGGGTTGGTAAAATATTAATAATTAAATTTATTCAAAATACGCGTCGAATGACACTTCAAAAATGTTTAGTATGTCACTTTGACCAGTTAATTTTCCTTGTATGCAATCCATATTAATTTATTACTCGTTACGACCGAACCAATCTACGGATGTATATGTAGTCTTTTGTGTTTTTTTTTAGTAGCTGGTAAAGTAATTTTGATTTGCTTGCCTCTCAGAGTGAATTGACTGAATTTCCGGTTTATGGCCGATATTTTAAAATAAACTTGCGCTGTGTACGCATAAATAAAATCGCATGTTTAATACCAAACCCGACGGACAGATCGACTCGGCTATTGATCCTGATCAATAATGTATATACTTTATTTAAACTGAAAGGGTCAGATATGCCTTCATCACTGCGTTGCAAACTTTGACTGAAATTTTAAAAGCCTTTTCAAGGGTATAAAAAGCCAGTTAGCATACTCCTTGATCGCTTGCTCTCTGAATAGCGACTGCAGTGCTAATAAGACTTGCTTGACTTAATATATTTCTGTCCTGATAGAGCGACCCTTGCTGATCTACCGCACCAAGTTCGACATCCGTCAGTACATGCTGCTGACCATCACGGACACAAAGGTGAGCGTCTGGACGTACCGCGACTGCTATCTGCGCTTCAGCTCGCAGGAGTTCACAATGGACGACCTGCGCGAGTGCATCCACCTGACCAACAACTCGGTGCAGAAGCGGTACAAGAACAAGAGCAACCGGGACCCGAGGCTGCCCAAGAGCAACATGTGGTCGCTGGACCAGTTCAAGGACTACCTCCGCCACATGGGTGCTGCGGAGGGGGCGTGGTCAAAGACCTACAACGGATTCAAGCAGAACCTGGTGGCGGTGGTGATGGCCAGCCTGGACGAGACGGAGCTGTTGCAGAACGCCTTCGAGCTCTACGGATGTGACTTCATGCTCGACGAGCACTACAACCCCATCCTGATCGAGATCAACTCGACGCCGGATCTCTCGCCCTCCACCGAAATCACGGCCAGGATCTGTCCCATGGTCCTGAAGGACTGCATCCGCGTGGTGGTCGACCTGCCCAAGAACCCCACCGCCGGCACTGGGCTCTTTGAGCTGGCCTTCGAGGTTAACTACAGCATCGACAAGGGCGCGGACGGCAAGCCGCTGGAGCTGAATGGCAAGCAGATGACCCTCTTCGAGAACGTGCCCAAGATGCGGAGCAGCCCGCGGTCGCGGCTCTTGCGTAAGATTCTGAACAACGTGAAGCCTTCCACCAGCAGGAAAGTCGAGAAGGTCAAGGAGGCCCAAGCTAAAAATGAGAAAGCCGCTGCTAAGATCTCCAAAAAGAAGGTACTGTAAAATATGTATGTAAAATCGCAATACTTTTTAATGGACGTTTATGCAACGTGACCAGTAAAAGCAGTTCCTCATAAAAACAATTTACGGACGTACGACTTATTCTAAAGACAAGCTAATAATACAAATACAGTTTTCGTATTAGGCACAATAACATTGAAGTTTTTAGGACTGACAAACGCGACCCTTATTGATAAATTCAATTATAGATGCTGGAAATAGTTTGATTTTTAACGATTTAAAACAATTGAAATAAAGTTTCACACAGAAGTGTAGTCAGAAAATGTACGAGTTAAAGTAATACCAAGCATTTTTGGAAAATTAATCAGAAACTCCTCCTACAAGAGTTGATGGTGATCCAGTTACCACCCCGTAGAACACACTTTATCCTGTCTATTCGATGCTCTTGCGAAATTATTAGTCTTGGTTACCATCTTTTAATTTCTTGAACTGCTTTAAATTTTTATGATTTTTTAATTGTGCCCTTTAGAATTTTAAAAGTTAACATATTAAATATTCTATCATCATCAGCTGAGGCAATCCATAAAACGTTATCAGCCTTGTAAATAAGGTAAACTTTTAACTAAAATGAAAAATGGAATATTTCATTATTATTTATTCCTCCTACTAATTTTGTAATATATATGTTCCACGTTATCTTTATAGAGAATGGTGACCTCTGCTGGGAGTTTAAGTGAGGCCTCGGCCCAGCCATCAACGCAGATCTTGGCAACCAAGACCACACTAAATCAAACAACTCGTGAAAACCTGGCACTCCAATATACTGCTCCCAAGTAAAGCTGAACAGAAGGACAAGTATACTTGTTACACCTTCTTCAGTAAGCAGTTCGTGAGTATTAAGCATTGCACGAAAATATGTTAATTATTTTAGCGCATATCGAAAAACAATCAATTTAAATAGTAACAACAAAATTTACAGAACTGTGTCAGTATCTACTAAATATTTAAGGAAATAGAAATCGGCAATCTTAGTGGGGAAATATATTGAGGAAGTTTTCATTACCCAGAATTGATTGATCCCCGCAAAGTGCTCGCAAATATAAGAGGTAAGCTAAACATTTATAATTATTATTAGTAACTCAATATATTGAAATTTCAGAAATTACTTCTCAATGTGGCAAAGTTCCTTTGAAAAACAGTTCCTGGTAGTGAAAACACATAACTCTTAAATAACTCATCAGTTCCCAAATCAAATCAAGTTTTATTGAATTTGGTAGTCAATAACATATGCAAGTTTTGATAACAATATTTCTAATAAACTCGTCTCAAGAATTAATAAACATGTACATATATCATTGATTAGTCAGATGCCATTAAAAACGGTTTTTTCTTAAATGCTAATACATTGTTTTCAGAAACTTGGAACTAACAATAAATTAATATATATATTTTTTTAATATTAGCTGAACCGTTGATAGAGAAACAAATACATTGGCATTATTTATAAGGAAACAAAATTAATAACTTTTATAATATATTTGTAGACTAGTGAATTCATTGTAAATTATGTAATTGTATATCATTGAATGTTCGTCCTTCCATCCATCCGTATGAAAGCAAAAGTTTAAAAGCTAAAGAAAAAATATAGTTTTTAAATTTTGCTCAGTTATCTGTCTTCTCGTGCGTGAACTTTAAAAGAAAAAGCTCTTGACTTTATTTCATTAACTATTTAGAACAGTTTAAACATTTTTAGTTCAAGGGCCTAGTATCGTCGACAAAAACATTAATTAAAAAGCATGATGCATAATAATTTTCAGCGATAATAAATTTACATCTGTAAATATATTTTTTTATAATACGATCTTTTGTGCAGCTTTTTCACAGTGTATGTTAAAATCTGTTTCTAGGTCAGGTATAAAGTATTAATTTATTCGCTTGCCTAGGCTGGGCAAAAAGAATTACCTACACTGAGAAAAAAAGATGGCTATTCAAATATAAAATTTTAATATTATTTAATATTAAAATATTTGAATTAATGTGATAATTATTATATTGTAACATTGTTTTAAATGATATATATTTATGATTAGTTTGTATTAAATATAAATTTATTTTTTCTACAATAAAATCTATTCCGAAAACAGTCAATTGAAATATTATAACAAAGTTAATTTTTACATATTTAATATAATTAAAATCAGCAATGCACTTTTTTTTATACCAGTGTAAAGGTATAGTACTAAGTAACTTCTTAAAACTTTAAATAATAAAACTTTATTTAGAGCAGGGGTGCTAACGCCTATGCATGCTAAGCACATTTGTTTTTGAAAGGAAACAGGGTATAAGAAGAAAAGTAAAAATATCTGACCAATTTAAATATTAAATCATAATATATAATGTAGAAAATGTTATATTTAAAATAGTTCGTTGTTGATTTTAAAGCATAAATGGATAAAAACAAGATACACAATATTTGGTTTTACCATGTTTTTTTTTACCTGTGTAAGCTTGCTTCGTTTCTGCATTGATTTTTTGTATATCGATAATCCAAGTGATACTTGCTTTTTGACTTTTCTACACTGGCATTTGTAATTGTGTTGGTAAATGCACTGCCATAAGCAAGTTTTGCGCACCCCTGATTTCGAGCAGTGTCTAAAGGAGCCTAGCCAACTGGAAGTGCTGGCGTGGGTACGGTCAGCGTGGAGCTGTTCAGCTTGTTGGCCAGCGCCGTGCGGGGACTCATCATCTCGGCCTGGGAGAGCTGCAGCTCGCTGGTGGCCTGCTTCAGAGCCGCCACGATGGGCTCTCCGCGATGCAGTGCCTGCACGGACACACTTATGGGGAGTCTGGGACCGTTCGACTTCCGGCCAAAGGTCCTGCCGATGGCATGCATGCTGACCGTGCTCTCGATCTCGGACTTGGTGCGGGCGAATCGGCGCGGCGGCAAACTGGGAGCAGGAGCCACCACAGGGGCTCCCTTGGAGCGGGACGCGGAGTTGGAGGAGCCGCCCGTTGTGGCCGCAATGTTGCGCAGACTGCGCCACTTCCGCTCGCTCATGGCCGGAGCCGTGGAGGAGTTTAGCGCCTGCGGGCGCGCCTCCTGCAGCGACTCGTTTCCGGCTGCCGAATAGTTTTTGATCAGGATCTTAAACTTCTTTTCCGCTCCCTCCGCAGGATTAGTGGAGCTGAGCCTGGGTCCGCAGCTACGCTGGCGCTTGGGCGGCAGGGCGGTGCTCGGCATGGGTTCACCCGAGATGGAGCCTGCCGTGTTCCGCTTGTGGGAGGCACTGAGCAGCTGGGTCACGGAGCGGCCCGCCTGCTTGAGGAAATAGGGACTCAGGGATGCCGACGGCGGAGCCGTGAGAACTGGAGCCACGGAGGGCGACTTCTGCAGGGACTGGCTGCACAGGCTACTGCGACTGCTGCTCAGCGGCTCCACCATGTACTTCTCCATGTATTCGGTGGCATTGAAGGTGGGCATGGCGCGGTGGATCCGCGAAATACTCGCCGCCGGGTGAATGAGGGCCGACCGCTGGCGGTAGACGCTGCTGGTGGCCAGGGACCGCTCCTTTCGCTGCTGCTGGTAGTGACCATAACCATGACCGCCGCCGTGACTCACCTTCTGCAGCACCTGCTTGCCCTTCACGAACAGGTTGAGGCCCATGTAGGCGGGCGTGGGCGGAACAACCTGGCGGTAGGCCAGCTCAAAGTTGCCCATGTCCGCCTTGGGATCCGTACGACGATCGATGACAACTGCAATGATAAAAGCATTCAATCTTAATAAGTTTAAAGTATCATAAGTTGTATATATATTTTTATAGCCTTGCAGAGGAAATAATAACTTTGGTCGAAATTTTGAAACGCAATAAAGAAGCCATTTCAGACTTTTTCAGAACAATCGGTAAAAAAGGCAAAATAAATAATAACTTTGCTGTTTTTATAGTTTTTTTGATTATGGATTATTATTTTGGAATTACGGTTTAAATTTTGTCAAAATTGGAAGACTATATCATATAGCTTTTCATAGAGAACTTAAAATCTTCATAGTTTCAATGGTTTCTAATGGGTAATCATATAATTTAGGTGTTTAATTTTTGAAGTCCACGATAGCCTTATAACTTTATTTCAGGCAATGCAGTCCATGATTACCTTAAATTTTTTTCTGAGTGTGGGTCCAAAAGGGCGGAAAGACCGATTTGTTGAAAAATATCGTTAAGTACCGTTTTTGTTTGTGTTTTTGTCATTTTCTTCCAAAATATGACATTTAAAAAATATTTCGGAAAAAAGAAGATCTAGTTAAAATATACATTTTTGATAAAGGTCAAGTGTTGTCCACGCGAACGACTAGCGAGTCAGCGTGTTATTCTGCCGGCTCTCTGCCGACACCGACAGAGTAAACGGTCGTGTGGCTTCGGCAAGCGTCTTCGGTTTAACGCACACAAACGCAAGAAAACATGTCATTGTATTTGTGTGGACATCACTGTCGCCATTATATGAATATAACGTTATACTTGTATGCTCAATATAGCAACTTCATAATAATTTTGAATGCTTAAGTTTTAGCTTTGGCTCTGGCTCACGAGACATGTACTCACCCTTGACAACATCCTCCAAACACTGCGGACACATGCGGGCGGTCACGCTGGTGGTGGCTCCCAGGTCCGGACTGGAGTTGATCTCGATCAGCCAAGGGTAGAAGTTCTCGCAGATCATGAAGTCGGCGCCGAAGAGCTCGAAGGTGTTGGGCCGCCGGTCCATGTTCTCCTGGGAAGCCAGCATGCAGCCAACGATGGCCTTGCGCATTCCGGGGAAGATCCTTTCCAGCCACATGTTGTACTTGCCAATTTGGCGCAGATACGCCTGGAAGGAGTAGCAGTCCCACATGTTCTCGCTCGGCAGCCGCTTGTCCCGCTTTCCGTTGGTGTACTTCTTCTGGATCGCGTAGTTGGTCAGGTGCACCGATTCGTGGTGGTTGCTCAGGCTGTACTCCTGCGAGCTGAACCGCAGATAGCTCTCCCGGTAGAACCACACCACCAGGGGCTACGGATCCGGATAGGACAGGTCGTATTGAGATGGGCTTTTGGAGCGGGAGCAATTGAACTCACCTGGGTGTTGGTTATCAGAAACCACTGGCGAATGTCGAATTTGGTTTGGAACAGGATCAACGGCCGCTCTACAAATGTAAGTGAAATAATAAGAACCTTAATAAGTTCCCACAAAGCCACAAGCCAAAGTTAAATTAAAATTATTAAAAGTGCGTTGTTATAAAATTAAAAATGTTATACAAATTTCTCATAAATTGAAAACTGAATCTATTTTAGCCAAACGGCTTTTAAAAATTGCTGAGTATGTCGAAATGTCTTCAGTTTGTTTCTTCGTAAACTAGCCTCACAGTTTTACATCTATTTGTATTAAACTTTCTTTAAATGGGTTTTTTCTTTGGAAATAGTATATAAGTTAGATCTAGCCGGATTGCTTCCACAGGAGCAAAAGCAAATGAAAAAAAAATACAATGAATATACTCCGAGATAAAGTTCTGGCTTACTATTTTAGAGCAAAAGTAAAGAAATAGATAAATGGTCGTTTTATATTACACTTTAATTTAAGCTTTTTTTAAACAATTGTTTTTACTTATATTTTTAATTTCCCTTTCCATGTTTTTGTTATCACTAAGCCTTCAAGTCAAAAAATCCGGGTTATAGTTTTTCATTTCTTCTCTGCGCCCAGAAAAATGCGGTTACCTCTAAAACTCCCAATAAACTATTAATTAAAGTTAAACTAACTTTTCCATCAATAGTAATACAAGTGAATTCCCTTTAACTACACTTACATTTTCATATTGACAAACTTAATTCTGGCCAAACAAAAACCATTTTAGTGTGGACTAAAATGCTCCGTTCTCCGGCAAACCTGTTGCAATTCACGGGACAGACAAAAACCGTAAAGCAAATTATGACTGCTGCCAGCAAACGAGCACGACTACGACGGCAAAAGCAATGGCTGCGTTTTTAGGCCAAATATTTATGCATTTATGCAGGCCTGGGACCCAAAGGCTCTTGCAGGATACAGGAGAACCAATGTTCGTGCGTGTGAGCGTGGTACTCAACCGACGGTTGGAGCTCCCCCCAAAAATGGGGGCTCACAGTGCGGAGCAAAAACAGCAGCTCGAACAGCAACTTTGGCACCGTCCTGATTTACGACCTAGTTTCCATGTGTTTGTTTATATCGTTTACTCGCAGGACTTGAAATGTTTTGGGTCTGCGCTAAGATGCTTTACACGATATCGATTGGTAAATGGAAATTTTGCCTTCAGCTCAAGACAACACGTTTGGCCAGCGGTGTTTAGATAGGCATCGGAGTTAACTTTATACACAAATATA